GGATCGTGTGTCGCGCCCCGGTGGGCCGCAATAAATCAATCCCCGAGAGGTCGATTTCTACCCGCCGATTCAGGCGGGTAGTGTAGACCTAGCCTAAGATACATTTGCATTTAAAATTGTATATGTTCTCATGGTCTCCTGCTTGTGCATCAAATTCTAAAAAGATTATAGTAGAATCTCCTAGGTAGATGCTACATATAAATAAGGAATGTGTACTTTTAATTGTTCTACAGTCCACAAAGCACAGTATGGCAATTTGAAGAGAGAGAGCTCTGGAAAGTACTAGGTGGAGTATTTAAAAAATAAAAAAGCGGAGGGTACAGTCTGTTTCAGTTCTGGTTTAGTTCTGAAAAGATCAGTAGCAATAGCAAAATAATTAACTACTGAGATTAGAAAATAATTTGCTAAGTCTTTGGCCACCAGTGACTGAGTAGAATGTTTATATCTGCTTTTTTTGTTGCCAGAATAGCAATTTTTATTATATTAAATGACAAAATTAAGTTAAATTACTCTGTTCTTAACTATGTTTATTTCCATTCTGTCCAGAAAATTAATTTTTCTATCAGAGTACCTTCCTCTTTTACTTCTCTTGTTAAACCTCTTTATCCCAGAATCCCTGGCAGGAAGGAAGAATTTACATGTCTCCATTTAAATGGGGTAAATTCACTATTTCCCATGATTTCACGGAGGGCTAAATTGTCTTTCAGGGCCTATACTGTAGCATGCTCAATATGACTTTTAATTGCACTTAATAATTACTTTTTTTTTTTTTAGTTAAAGCAGTTCTTAAAAAGAGAGAGTATGGACCAAAATACACACAAAATAATTTCATCACTGGTGTCAGAGCAATAAATGAGTTCTGTCTTAAATCCAGGTACAGTAGTTTAAGTGAGTTAAAGTATAATTGTCTATATATTTTTGACTTGTTTGAATGTGTTTCAGAAGTGAAGAATGGCTTAGCACCGTGGGACACTAATCCTGATTGAAATGTCTAGGCGCCACTCCAATGTACACAGTAAATTGTAGACTGACTGAGCTGACGCTTCATTTGAAAATGACTAAGCTTCAAGCTAATTGCAATCATGGTGGCTGATGTATTCAAACTCTTTCAAAGGGGCATTGTAATAGTTTAATATATATATATATAATATTTTAAAAACAAAATTAACTTCATTTAAGTTCTCTTTCCAACACCGCTATCCTTCCTCTTCTCTAAAGTGCTGACTCTGCATGCCAAGAAGTGCAGATCCTATTAGTCACTGAAGAGACAATGCTGTCTCTAGAACAGCCAGCTTTTCATAGGGGGCACAGGCAACCTTGTAACAGTAGTTAGAAACCTTGCAAATCTCTAAAATATGAAAGCCCACTTAGAAGCCATAGGAAGCTTCATGTTAAAGTTTAAGTACTTGAGAATTATATCTGTTTACATGTGCTTATTATTATATTATAATAATAAGATTATTATATTTTGCCAAATTAAGACTTAACTCTCACTATAATCCTGACTTAATCACATGTATCATTCTGGACCATGGTTATTGTTACTTTACCTAATTCTCTTTAGTGTCTGTCATCCATCGCTGGCATTCACTTAAACAACACAGTTCAAATGTGTGATCTCATTTATAAAATCTGTTTGACCTTTATTAAATAAGTTGTTTGCAGTGGTGGTGCTTGTGTTGCCATGTTTACCCCAGGATACGAAAGACAAAGATAGGTGAGGTAATATATTTTATTGGACCAACTTCTGTTGGTGGAAAGGACAAGCTTTCAAGCATCACAGAGCTCTTCCTCAGGTCTGGAAAACATAACCTGAATGTCTTGTCCCACTTTGTATTTGGCTCATATTGTTAAGCAGAAGGGTTTCACGCATAGGAGATCACCCTTCTGCTTAACAATATGTCTCACCTTGTCTTTAGCTCTGACACTCAGGGTACCTTCTCCAAACCTGAGGAAGAGTACTGTAATGCTCAAAACCTTGTCCCTTCCACCAACAAAAGTTGGTCGAATAAAAGATATTACCTCACTAGCTTTGACTCTCTCTTTATTAAATATGAAAGTTTGACTTTTATAGCAGAATTTAAAAATTGTAACTATTTCTGCTCTGGGTCTTACTTATCACCCTAGTATCTTAGTCCAGCCAAAGGTCTTAACTAAATGAAATCAGTTTATCATAACTTATTTTCTCTATAGGCAGATTAATTTGAAAATATATTTGTTGGCTTTTACATAGAAAGTTCTGGACAGAAATAATAGGACCATAGGTTAGTTATTGTGATCAAACCAAATGATTTCCTATTTTTTATATATAAACATCTTCTATAATCGAGTGTCTTGATTCAGATGGTGGAGGAAGTAACTAGGGGGACAGCCATCTTAAACTAGATTCTGACTAACAGGAAGGAATTAGTTGTGAATCTGAAGGTGGAAGGCAATTTGGGTGAAAGTGATCATGAACTAGAGTTCATGTCTCTAAGGAAAGGAAGGAGTGAGAGCAGCAGAATAAGGACAATGGACTTTTAAAATGCAGACTTTAACAAACTCAGAGAACTAATAAGTAAGGTCCTATAGTAAGAAAACGTAAGGGGAATAAGCAGTTCAGAAAAGCTGGCAGTTTCTAGAAAAGACAATATTAAAGTCACAAAGAAAACTATCGCAAAGCGAAGGAAAGATAGGAAGAATAGTAAGAGGCCAATTTGGTGGTATGAGGAGCTCTTTAATGACCTGAAAATCAAAAAGGAATATATAGAAAGTGGAATCATGAACCAATTCTTAACTGTGAGTACAAAAGTATAGCACAAGCATGTAGAAATCAGAGCAAAATCAGGCTAAGAAACAAAATGAGTTACAGCTAGTAAGGGGCACAAAAGGCATAAGGAGAGATTCTATAAATACATTAGGAGCAAGAGAGAGACAAAGGAAAGCATAGGTCTACTACTTAAGTGAAGAAAGAGATCTGCTAATGGACTGCACCAAGAAGGCTGTGGTGTTGAATGCCTATTTTGCTTCAGTCTTCTCTAAAAAAGTTAATTGTGACCAGAATCTTAACATAGTTTATATTAACAAAAAGGGGGAAGGGAACACAAGCCAGAATAGGGAAAGAACAGGTTAGTTAATATTGGGTAAGTTAGATACATTTCATCCAGCCCTGACAACCTGAATATATCTCAGGGTGCTTCAGGTAGTTCCTGAAGCAATCTCAGAACTGTTAGCAATTATCTTTGAGAACTCATAGAGGACGTGTGAGGTCCCAGAGGACTAGAGAAGGGAAAATGTAGTACCTACCCTTAAAAAGGGGGAACAAAGAGGACCTGGGGAATTATAGACGAGTCAGCCTAACTTTAGTACCTGGAAAGATACTGGAACAAATGATTACATAATCTGTTTTTATAAGCACCTAGAGGAGAATAGGTTGATAAGTAGTTCCAAATTTAGAAGCAAAGGAAGATTCCCAGTGTTGTCATATTATCACAGAGATAAAGAGACTGCCATTTGCAGATGCAGGCAACCTCTCTCAGGTTTCAGTACCAGGTGTCTGGAGAATGAAAATATGCTGAATGCAATCATCAGTACATGAGTGTCATGGACACTCAACCTAAGCTTAATGCAATGGCAAACAGAGCAGCAGGTAAAGAGTATGAAAATGAAGACAACTATGCTAACATTAGATTCCGGTTTGTTGGAATTGAAAACATTCCTGTAATGAGATCCAGCCTGCAGAAACTTTTAGAAGTCAGTGGTACAAAAGCTCTGTCTATCAACAATTTCTTGTCTGGTTTGGAGAACTCTAGCTGGCTGTGTCATATCAAAGCTGTGTTGGATGCTGCTATCTTCTTAGCCAAAGCAATAGCAGTTGAAAATGTAACTGTGCTAGTTCATTGCTCTGATGGCTGGGACATGACTTCCCAAGTTTGTTCTCTTGGCTCGCTTGTTGGATTTGTTTTATAGAACAATATAAGGTGTCATGGTTTTGATAGAGATGGACTGGCTCTCTTTTGGACACATTTTCTGAGAGGTGTGATCAATTGGATGGTGACCCAAAGGAAATCTCTCCAGTTTTCACTGTTTTTAGAAGGTGTGTGGCATCTCACAGAGCAGTTTCCACGAGCCTTTGAATACGATGAAGCTTTTCTCCTTTAGAGCCATGAACATGTCCATTCATGTCAGTTTGGAAACTTCCTTGGAAACTGCCAAAAAGAGCTAGAAGAACTAAAATTAAAAGAGAAAACTTATTCCTTATGGCCATTCCTTCTGGACGAACAGAAGAAGTATCTGAATTCTCTATACGATCCAGATTTTTCCCAGAAACTTGCCTTCTTGGAGCCTAACACAGTGTCCTTCAATTTTAAGTTATGGAGAAATATGTATCATCAGTTTGACTGAACTATGAACTCCAGGCAATCTGTATTTAATTTCATCATGACCATGAGTGAACAAAATAAACAACTGGAGAAAGACTTTAAAGAACTGGAAGCTAAAATGAAACTGAGAAACAGGCAACCAGAAGAACTCCTCACTAAGGAACCATTGCAGTCTGTCCATCCTGCTTCACCAGCACTTAACACTTCTTTGTGCTTTAAGAAGGAGCAGCCTCTGTTAACTGTGAATGACTCCATTCGAACTATAGAGGGCAGCAACACAGCAGACAATTGCTGCAGTGAATAAAAAGTAGTAGCCAATATGAATATGTCAAGAACAAATCATGCCAGAACCTAATTTCTTCCTTTGATAGGGTTACTGGCCTTGTGGATAGCAGTCAATATGATATATCTTGATTTTTAGTAATGTTTTTGACATTGGCCCACATGACATTCTCATAAGCAAACTGAATTACTGTAAAGTGCATAACTTGTTGAAAAGCCATACTCAAAGAGCAGTTATCAATGGTTTGCTGTCAAACTGTGAGAATGTATCTATTGGGGGTCCTGCAGGGCTCTCTCTTGGGTCAGGCACTATTCAGTATTTTTGTTCATGACTTGAATAATGGAGTGGACAGTATGCTTATAATATTTATGGAAGACTCCAAGCTGAGAGGAGTTGCAAGCACTTTGGTGGACAGGAGATTAGAATTCAAAAGGACCTTGACAAATTGGTCTGAAATTAAAAAGACAAAATTAAATAAAGATAGATGCAAAATACTACACGTTGGAAGGAAAAATCAAATGCAAAATGAGGAATAATTGGCTATGTAGTAGTACTGCAGAAAATAATTTGGAGTTATAGTGGATCACAAATAGTATATAATCCAGCAGTGTGATGCAATTATAAAAAAGGCAAATATCATTCTGGGATGTATTTAACAGGAGTCTCATATGTAAGGCACAGGAGGTAATTTGTTCTGATCTACTTGGCACTAGTGAGGCCTCAGCTGGAGTATTGTCCAGCTTTGGGTATCACACTTTAAGAATGATGTGGACAAATTGGAGAGAGCCCAGAGGAGAACAACAAAAATGATAAAATGTTTAGAAAACCTGACCTCTGAGGGAAGATTAAAAAAACTGGGCATGTTTTGTCTTGACAAAAGACAGCGGAGGGGACACCTGATAAGTGTTCAGATATGAAAAGAAATGTTATAAAGAGCAGGGCCGGCTTTAGGGTGATTCAGCCGATTCCCTGGAATTGGGCCCCGAAACATCCCAAAGGAGCTGCCGCCAAAGTCCCGCCACTGTCTTAGGCGGCAGCTCAATCGCTGCCGCAGAGGAAGGACCCTCTGCTGAAAGGCCAAAGACAGTGGCAACGATTGAGCTGCCGCCTAAGACAGTGGCGGGACTTTGGCGGCAGCTCCTTCTAATCGGGCCCCGCAGTGCCTAAAGCCGGCCCTGATAAAGAGGATGGTGATCAGTTATTCTCCGGGTCCACTGAAAGTAGGACAAGTAGTAATGGGTTTAATCTGCAGCAAGGGAGATTTAGATTAGCTATTAGGAAAAACTTTAAGGGTAGTTAAGTACTGGACTAGATTAGCAAGGGAGGTTGTGGAATCTGTCATTGGAGGCTTTTAAGAACAGGTTACTGTCAGGGATGGTCTAGATATACTTGGTTTTCCTCAGTGTTGAGTACTGGACCTATATGATCTCTTGAGGTCCTTTCCAGCTCTACATTTGATTCTATAAAGTGTATTACAGTGGGGCTGGGGGGGGGGGGGGGAAAACTGATAGCCAAACATAGCAAATACTTGCTCAGCCACCGTTTTTACATAGCTTTAGACCTGTGTT